TGATTGTAGTAAATGCAATGAATTACTTGTTGATCCACAAACATAATTTTCCTATGGATATTGAAAAATAAAAGGTAAACATTTGATAAATGAAAAATTTATATTTTGAAATAGAGTAAGAAATATTTCATCAAGTTGAATTATATTATTAAATAACAATTAACAAAATTTAAAATTGAATAATGCAAGTTCTGAAAATGATAAATCTGAAATTAATGATAATAAAGAAATAAATGATATATTTAAAGATTATTTGACTTTAAAATATGAATTTTCATTAAATTCTAGCAAATTTTTAAGCAGTTATTTTATATAGATTTTGTTGTAAATTATAACTATAGAATTTGATTTAAGATATTAAATAGTATAATAGATATATTACTAAATTTTATAAAATTGGTAGTGAAGAATTTAAGCTTTTTTGTGGGTTTTTGTATATCACCAATAATATACTTAAATTATTAGATCAGTTTATTAGTTTTGTGATATGTTAAAGATATCACAAATTATAGAGACATGATGATGTTCTTGGTTTTCAAATATTATTATTATAGATATTATATAGAAGTTTATTAATATTTAATTAATCTACTCAATGTTGAAAATTAGATTTAAAATTCAGATTTTAATATATTTGCAATAATTGATACTGAATAGTAGAATATGGAAAAACTAAATTCGATTAATTAATTATATTTTTATTTAATAATTCTAATTGTATAGACAATAGAGAATCACAAGTTTTTCTTTGTTTTATTGCCAAATTAGAAAATGAAACATTATGTAATTATTTGTTATATACAGTATATGCTTAACTGTACGATTCATTCGTTACCACCGAAACTCATAGATGCATGATTTTATGTGAAACGTCTCATGAAATAATCAGTTTCCAATTAAGTAAGACTCTCTGAGAATAAGCACTAATTAGATTGCAAAGTAACTTAAACGCAGGGGCCATTGTACGTAATTAATTCAAAATTCTTTGAATTACTGTATATACTGTACACAGTTCGCGCGTACATCGAATAGCGGTAATACAATGAGATTTAGATGAGCACGCACATTTTTGGCTGCACAAATACGTGTGATCCTTAAGGATCGGATCGAAACGTGTATATAAACACGAACCCACTGTGATCTTGCTTTTTTCTAGTGACAAAAATTTCGCACTTAAAAATGGGCAACAGACTAAGTGTAAATTCAAAAAATGGCAAACGCAAAATCAGAGATTATGTTATAAACGACGAGGAAATCGACAGGCTCCAGGTTCAGCATCATATTTTTCGTACAATATGGGAAGGCAATTTTAAAGCGCCCGTGGAAAAAGTACTCGAGTCGGATAATGCTGAAGTACTAGATATCGGGTAAGTTTCGCTTAAATAATTTATTTGAAACATCAATTCACACACTCTCCCTAAAAATTAGATGCGGTACAGGAATTTGGGCATGTGATTTGATTTCAGACTTTCCAAGATGCCATATCACCGGAATTGACAGTAACCCAGACTTGTTTCCATACCAACCGCCCCGAAATGTGAAATTTCACTGTGCGAATGATTATATACAAGCTTTATCCACGTTTAAAGACAACTCGTTTGATTATTTGCACATGAGGTTTTGTTGGTCGCATTTTACGCGTGATCAGTGGCGCAATGTTGTATTGTCAGAGTTAATGAGGGTAATAAAGCCCGGCGGATGGTTAGAGGTAAGTGTTTTTGTAGTGAACGGTAAAGGAGATACTGTATTATTCATGCATTGATGTTCTGAATATTCCATGACAGATCGTAGATTTTTCTGTTGACGCTCAGAACAAGGGACCAATAGCAACGAAATATCTACAAAGAAGTGGGTTCTTCATTATATTCACATGCTTCAAAGAAAATTGTTAACAAGTTGTCTCGGAATTCCAAAAAACTTAGTAATTGAACAATCTCGTACACGTAACCTCGATTACGAAATACTCCCTCTTCTCCCAAGTCTACTTCCATCCATCCCAAACCTTTCCCCGCAAATATACCACCAAACACGATTGATACCATGCGGTGCGTGGGGTGGCAAGATCGGTGCTTATTATGAGAAAATTGCGAAATCTACAGTGCTGAAAACCACCGAAACAATGTCACGCCGACAAGGGCATGACGTTGCTAAGATTATTGAAGATTTATCAGCGGAATTTCGGAGTTATAGAACTTCTGCGATATGCCATAGAATATTTGCACAGAAGGCTGTGACTGAAATAAACACCAAATTCACATAGGTCGTTACACTGTCGAGATGCACAAGAATTTTACGCGTTGCTTGTAGGCTCACTACATAGGTATTAAAAAAAGCGCATATTGTTCATATGATAATTTCCCGAAAGAATTGCTGCTGTGTATATAAACATTTGTAGCATAAAAGTTTATCCGTATCGGCGATACATTTATTTTTTTGATTGATGAGCTTTTGATAAATGAATCAGAAACAAATAAAGAAGCATGCATCGATTTAAGTCTTTGCTATGCATTCAACATTTACGAGTTATTTATTCAAATTCTTCAATGACTCACGGCAGTGTATCCTGATAGTAAGCCAAGGTCGATCATGAGAAATATCGATGTCTACTTTTACGATTTGAGCAATAAAAAAACCTTTATTACTAGCTGTTGCCTAAATTTGGTCCGACTTTCTTCGGCATAATATTGGAATTGGGTTATGTTACCAAATGATTTAATTATAAACAATGCTCCGTGCGTAAGCACTGCGGTACTCAGGGGCATTAAAGAGTGCTGACGTAAAATCTGTTTTTCCGTGCAACACTTGCGCCTTAACCGAGAATCACAGAAGTAGGAAAAAGTCACAGAACAGTTAAATAAATAGTGCAAAAAATTTATTTTATTTTATATTTTTACAAAAACAATCATAATAATTATAATTACGTGCAGTATATTATGATAAACAATAATTAATTCTAAACGTTTGATTATTAAAGGTAATTAAATTCTATTATATCTATATTTTAAAAAAGTTAATTAATGATGCATTAAAATAGTACTGTGTTTCTCGGCAAATAGCCCCGTGATTAATACCCGGCACTAATTAAATTATTTTACTAAAAAAAATTATATAAGATTTGAGTATTTGAAACATTCTTGGATTGCAGCAAAACATCTTTGTCTTGGTTCACTAAATTCATCGGAAATAATTTCAATTCTTGGAGGATCATTTCCATTGAATAAAAAATAAATGTACGGATTTTCCATCTTGCTCTTCACCTTTTAACTTAACCATTGATCAGTAATCAAATAAAAATAGTTGATCTCTAAATATTGATAAACTGCTTAAATATTCAAGTTCTGTAGTTGCATAATTTCATTTTGCTTTATTAAACTGCAACCAATATAAGTTACAAGATATCTTTTATTCTGGTCATATTTTTTGAGCTAGTATTATACCAATATTAATTTTTAAAGCATCAATATAAGCATAAAAATTTTTTATGAAGTTTGAATATTTTAAAATTAAAGTGATAATTAAATACATCTTCAAGATTTTAAAGGTTTTCGATTAAATTTTAATTTACGAAAATGAAATATTCTTTTTAAGAAGTTAATTAAAAAATTTAACAATTGAAAAAAATTTTTTAATTGATTTTTTATAATAAAAAATAAATTTTAAAAATCTTTTAACAATATAAAATTATAAATAGTTATAAATTTTATTAATCTTTTTATTGCTTAATTAAATTCTTTCTCTAATAATTTTATAATTAAGTAATTTATTTGAGAAAAAATAAAATAATATTTTTCAAATTTAACATTAGATTAATTTTTTTAAAAATATCAAATATAATATTTATATATTTATAATTATCTTTAAATATTTCAAAAATAATTATAATAGTATTTAAATAGTCTTTACCAAATCTTTTCTCATATAAAACAAAAATTTTATTTATGGATTTTAAAAAATTTATAAATATATTATATAACTTAAATAATATAACATTGAACTTATAAAATTCAAATTTGATAATATAAAATATTTTCTTTTTATTATTATTTATAACTATCTATTAATATTTTTTTATAAAATTTTAACAAAAAAACTATTTTACATTATTAAATATATTTAAAAAATTATCTATTATCAATTTATAATAAATTTTTAGATTTATTTTTAAAATCACAAAATTAAGCTTGTCCAATTAGGAACGAACAATATTATCCTGTAATAAAGAAAAAAAACCAATTAATTTTGTCGATCAGTTGTAACCTCTTTTCTAATATCTCTTTATAAGTCAATTAATTATTCTAAGACAAATAAATTTGATTAAAAATCAGGTGTTTATTTTAAATCATGATAAGTAAGGTTGATAATTGATCAATGTAATGGGCAAGTTGCGGATAGGACTTTATGACATCTGATAGTATGGAAGGGATGGATTTTGGACAGAGGGATCTGCAAATTTAATTGTCTGTATTACATCAGATAAATTTACTAATCATAATTTTTTCTAAATCCAATAAATTTAACCAATCATTATATTTTATTTATCTTCTTAATAACTTTGTGAATATATAATTTAATTAAGTAATTTATATGTGATGTGATAGGTCTTATCTCGAGCTTTCGAATGGTATATGAATTGTCATAGTAAAATTTTCTTTGTTCGGTGGGAATTGTTTGAGAAAGGTTAAGTCTTTTTTTTCTTATACATTTTTTATTTTCGTTATCAAATTTATCATACTCATATCCCGATGAGTTCATCACAAAAATGAAAAATTTTTTTGCATAATGATAGTGCAGAATCTGAGCTTCTCAAAAATATGTAGCTTGTTGTGATATGATTGTTTGTTTGATAGGAATGACCTCACAAGATCAAAAAATTAAGAATTTCACATTTTTTTGTATTTTCATAAAATATTGCTTCATATTGAACTCTGTCAATTTTGATTCAAAATAAGCATAAAGCCATCTTTAAAAAGCTCAGGATTGGCTCTATCTTTTGTATTAAGATATATATTAGTAAAAATCCATTCTTCTTAAAGTTATCAAATTAAATATATCAAATTTTTTGTTCACCTATGATGGCATATACACAGAACCCACTCCTATCTTCACAAATTTTGATTTGAATAAAGCATATAAGGGCTTGTTAGATAGCTAAAGACTGAAATTTTTTCCCTCACAAATATAAAAATAGAATCAGGATGTGTTACCAGGATGTGTTACTGTTGAGATATTTGACTCAAAATAAAATTTTACATTTTCTTGTACATATTATCAAGAAGAATTCACCTGTGATAAATATATTGCATTAATTTTTTGTATGATAACTCACATATTTTGCATCTCCTTTAGGTTATACATAATATAAACTATTGTATATGAAACTTTTGTATGATCTGGATATCTTTGTACCATTTATCGTAATGTGAAATCAATGTTTATTATATTTATTATCAGGTTTACCAAACTTTGAATCTTCATGTCTTGTATTTTGATCTGTATATTTCTTATCTCTTTTAGATTGTGTATTGTAAGCATGATAGTGTGAAAAATTTTCACAGTGTTTGAACTGTTAAAACACATTTATTACAGCTTAGATCATATATGATTGACATGAGATATAGTGTGATCAAATAAAACATACAAGATGGTTTCTATAAATAATAAACCAATTGGAGTGATCAGATCACTGTAAGAAAGCTTGGAAGTTTAACCTTCTTTCAATATATAGTTATAATAATGAGAATATTTATTTTTACCAAGCTATATAATAAGATGAATGTTTATTGTAATTAATATTTTAGTAGTTGTTTTTTTTTTTTTTTTATTATAACCCACTGTCAGGTTAGTTATGTGTGCTTTATTAAACATAATGTAGGCTATACTATTTACAGTGTCACTAAAG